GGAACTGACTCGACTAGGACCCCAAACATCTGAATGGACTAAAGTAAAAGGTGACTCTGCTCGCCGGAAAATTCCAAAATTGTCGGAATTTGTCGTAAACAGGATGGATAGACTCGGAATTCCTTTGCGAGCAAGCTGTCCTGAAGAAATATTTTCAAAAAATGGCCGGAAAGATCACTGTTCACGCCGGAAAAATATAAAAGTGGTCGGAATTTGATTTGAATTAGATGGGTAGGCTCGGAATTTTGAGGAGAGCACACTGTCCTGAAGAAGCTTCGCGAAAAAATGGCCGGAACCCTCGCCGGAAAAGTTGTTGCCGGCGTGTGGAGGAGCGTGGCGGCTTTTCTGCCGGATAAAATTTCAGGGGTTGGTCGTCGGAGGGTGATCTACCTCGTGGTGGTGTTGGTTTTAACACAACACCGACAGAAAGTGACTTTCGCTTAGACAAGCCTTAGGTCACCGGAAAATTGCACGATGACTAAGTTCTTTCTTCCCGGTTAACGCTGGAATGACGCACAGCGATCTTTTCTCACTAATGTTCTGATACCATGTGAGAAGGCACGGGAGAAAATATGCTATTGATATTGGATGATAAATACAATACAAGAGGTCCCTATTTATAGCTATACACTACAAGGAGATATTACTCATCTTCCAATGTGGGACAAGACTACACTATACATATCTGTAAACTAACAATAAACAATAAAGGAATAGCATCCTAAGATGAGGTCACTTCCTATGTTAAGCATCCTATTTAAAAAAGAAGGAAAGCACAATACACAATTTCACATTCATTTATCCATGACCTTTCACTTAAAAATATAGCCACAACATATCTTACATATGAAAAAAAAGACACCGGGACCAAAAAGACCAGCACTTGGAGACCAACACGAAAACAGAACACTAAAAGTTTGGAGCACAAGCATCGATAACTTTACAACTTAATTTACGAATTAATATATTGTCTTTTTACCAAGAGAAAAGAACAACAAAACTTGAGCAATTTGGTCCACTTCAATTGTGGTTTTGGTTAAATAGTGAAAAATAAACAAAGACCTACGGATCTCATCTTGATATTGCAGCTCGCATAACTGCCAATAACTGGGTGCTCGGACCATACAAAATGACTAATAAATAACTGCAGCAACCATTTTTAAAAAGTTAAATGACTGCAGAAACTCATTCGGGTAAAGTTAGCACTTCCATTTTTAAGGTTTGAATTCAAATAAATAGGATTGGTCTAAATGATTTTCGCCTCATCAATCATTTTCCAAAGAAAACACCTCAGAGACTATTCCAAATAAATAGCAAATAAATTGTATAGATCTCCAGTTTATTGATGAGCATTGGCCTTGTCATTCTTATCCAAATCTTCAACCAACATGACATTTCCTAGTTCAGCAAAAAGTCTCATTTTTTCTCATTTATACTTTTGACAAAGAAGGAAGATACCCTCTTGTATAGAGAGTTGGACACGCTTGTTAGATGAATGAGGTTAAGCCTTGCACTCTACTGTAAATATTTTTCACACCATATTGATAATATTATCAATGAAATCAATGTGGATTATGAAAATATACTATCGAAGTCTAGTTATATAGTGGCATCTCATGGGCACAAAAAGGAATGCAGTACTTGTACTGTCTCAGCCTTCTACATGTACCTGAGACTTCTATATGCCCAATGTAGCATGGATCAACTATTACCAGATCTTGCAATATTACAAAAAAGACACGATAATAGAAAGTCCACAATTATCTAGGCTACAGAATGAACAACAAGAAGGATATCCGATGAAAAGATTCAACAATGCAGCTTCAGAAACAAAGATAGCCCAATATCGATCAATTTACTCTGAAACTGAAGGCATAATCACCTCGTTGTGCTGTTGCATGGTCACCGGCATTGACACCTCTCAAAGTTGCTAGTATTTCATCAGCTATCTTCTGTTTAATTTGCTGCGGTACTTGCACCACCTTTTCATCAATGAAAAATTCTTCCTTTAATCCCTTTATCTTCACCGGAAAAACAAACATCCCTCATCAAGCCCATAGCCTTAAAGCTCAGGAAAAAAAACAACTAAATATCCGACATCAGAAAAGGGTCTTACTAGTTTAATAAGATGCACAGGTTCTAGTTGTTTTCTTATTCGATTCGATTCGTCCATTTTCCTAACCTGATCTGGAGTATACCTAAAAGCTGTATACACATAATAGCATTATTTTCGAAGAAAAGAAACAGAATAGCATTATTTTCGAAGAAAAGAAACAGAATCCCCAAATGGGTAAAATCAAGAAAAGGGAACAAGCAATAGGCATAAATAAGGACTTACCCCTTTGGGTATCATTGCGAGTAGTGTACATGTATACTGAAGTGTAAGAGTGAAGCACATAGAGAGCAACAAAAATGTTAATTGCACAAACAATAATCGTGGTTCGTTTGTACGAACACCATTTGGCTTCTGTTCTTGCCATCTCCCCCTTCGTCTCTTCTCTGCTTCAACTTCTGCTTACCCTCCATCCAATCATCTCTTTGAGAAACCCACCACTATCTTTTAATTCATAAATGTTTAGACTATTTCTGAAAGACTTATGATTAGCTGTCAATAGATCGATAGTATCAATATAAGCCCTTGTCTTCTTTTCCTGGACTTGGCGTTTGATTTGATTAAACAACAATATCAGAACAATGTAAGTTGTATACTGCAGTATATTTAATAATGGGATTCCTCTCCCCGTGTTGTGGTTTGTGAGGTAATTTGGTTCTATTTTTCGATAATTAGGTGATAACTTTGATTTGTACCGTGTAAAGGTATGGGGGAAGTGGGAGGTTGGATGCTTTGTGCTAACTTTCTTTTTTTCTTCTTTTTCCCGTCCAAACGCCGCGTACTAACCTGACAAAATAATTAGAAGGCTGCAAAACCCTCAAGTATTGGATCTCTACTACTCTTAAATGGGGCGCGTGTGCAACTAGAACCACGGTAAGTACCGGTAAGTATCAAACTAACCTTGGTGAAGTAGTGATGAGCTCAAATCGTATGATACTTACTAATAAAATATAATATGTGCAATAAATCAAGACTGACAACAAAAGTATAACAGGAAAACAATAATAATAATAATAATAACCTTAATGGAATAAGTGACAACAACTCAATAGCCACCCATATCACAAATGGTACCTCGTGCCCACATGATCATCACAATAACAATAGCCACCCATATCACTCTGCTATGTTAATATCACAATAGTCACCTGTATTTTCCTACCCTGCCAATATCACAATAGCCACATGTATCGCTCCGTCCAGATAATATATCAATAACCACCTGTATCGCTCCGCCCATACAATATATCAATAGCCACCCGTATCGCGCTATACAGTCGATAATAGTGAAATGTGACCCTTATACTCTGCACAACAACAATCAATCTATACAACATGTCCACATATGCCACAATATCACAAAATGATAATAATACCAAAGATTTATCACGAAAAAGATCATAACTTATCAAAAATGTACATAAGGACATGTCAATAAAATAAAAGTGCGGAGAGGTGCTCAACAAATAAAGCATGACTATGGTTAAGTCAAATATATCGATCATGGTCAAGTATTCCCAAAGTGGTGTCAGCATGTTTCATATAAGTTACTTTATCAAATTAAGGCATATTAATAGTCTATGGTCCAACCCAGTCACAAAGCACACATAACGCCCGTGTACACGCTCATCACCACATGTACACATCACTTTTCACATAACACGAATAAGCAATCAAGGCTAAATCCTAAAGGGTTCTACCCCCACAAGGTTATGCAAGATACTTACCTCAATCAAGCTTAATCAATCCTCTAATAATCCCTTTCCGCATGAATCAACATTTGGACCGTTCAGATCTAGCCAAAATAACATAATATCATAAATGAAAGCCATAGGAAATGATTCTGAATAATAAATCTTCGATTTTTAACTAACAAAAAGTCAACCCCGAGCCCGCTCCCCGAAACCCGACAAAACTCACAAATTCCTAATACTCATTAAAATATGAGTCCAATCATACTAATTTCATCCAATTATAACCTCAAACCATCAATTTATGTTTTAGAAAAGTTTTTACTAAAATTCCCAATTTATTCAATTTCATTCATCAAACAATCACTAAATTCAAGGTTGGAATCATTAAATATAAACAAATCCGAGTAAAAAAATACTTACCCCGAAATAAATTGTGAAAATCCCCTCCAAAATCGCCCAAATCCGAGCTTTCTAACTCAAAATGTGATAAAATGACAAAAATTCTCGAAATAGAGTATTTAATAGGTCTACCCAGGTATACACATCGCGATCGCAGGAACAACCTTCGCGATCGCGAAGAACAACTCACCCAGCTACTGAACCCTTTTTCGCAAACGCGATATACCAGTCGCGAACGCGATGACCAACTCCATAGTACCTACGCGAACGCGATGCCTCACTCGCGAAGGCGGAGGCCAAATACCTGATGTCCCTTCCAGCCTTCCCTTCTACGCGATCGCGGCATCCAGCTCATGATCGCGAAGGTCATAGCCTTCCAAGCTTCGCGAACGCAACCCTTTCTTAGAGAGCGCAAAGAACAAAATACGCCTGCCTCCAAGTTACCTTACACGAACGCGACACACTAGTCGCAATCACGATGAACAACATCAGACACTAGCAAAACAACAGTCCAAAATAAGAGGAAATGGTCTGAAATCCATCCGAAACAGATCCAAGACTCTCGGGACCCGTCCAATCACACAAACCAATCCCAGAATATAGCACGAACCTACTCGAGGCCTCAAATCACACCAAACAACATCAAAACTATGAATCGTACCCCAATTCAAGCCTAATAAACTAATGAACTTTTAACTTCCAAAACTCATGCTGAACCAAACCAACGAGCCCCGCAAGTCACACAACCACAATTACTCGCATGTAAAGGATCGAATAGGGGAAACATGGCTAAAATACTCAAATCGACCGACCTGGTCATTAAAATAGGGGTCGCGATAGAACCTAGTCTCTAAAATTAAGTAAGACGATCACTTAGCAACATTAAAACCAATAAAACATGATATAATAAAGCAGAGTTTTTAACAGAAATTCAGAAATAGAGGTAATACAAGCCAAAATGGCGATAATCAACACATCTCCGCAGAACTAGGTACTATAGAGTCACGAGCTCTAATTGAATATATAAAACTATCTCAAATCTATAGTAATGTTTGGATATAAAAATGATAGTATAAATATAAGGATAGGACTCTAAGGGTCTGTGACAGTCAATACAGCTATACCTTTGTCACGACCAAAAATCCAACTAGTCGTGATGATACCTAACCCAACCCGTTAGGTAAGCCAATTAACAACTATCCAATTCCGATGATATTTAATAAGACAGTTAAGTAAAGAAATTATCTGAATCTTATACATTTCTCAAGGACTGGTAGTAAAAATCACAAGCTTCTAAGAATAAAGTTTACAAAGCTGAAATAAAGTAAATAAATCATCTGTTTGAAAAATACATAAACAGAGTTTTATAGATCTAAGGCTACTATGAACAAGAGGCAGCTACAACCGGGACGCAAGTACATCTTCAAATCCAGCTCCCATCAAACACAGTAACATCAACAACCAATATCTTCACGCAAGGTGCATAAGTGTAGTATGAGTACAACCAAACCCATATACTCAGTAAGTAACAAACCTAACCTTAGGTTGAAAGTAGTGACGAGCTAACACAAAGGTCGAGTCCAACACCAATATTCCACCACAGTTCATAACAACATAGTACAAGTAATAAAAGAGGTATCTCAGAAATAAAATGCTCAGTTCGTTCACAGTTCCAGAAAATAGGCATTTCTTTTCAAGTACCTCAGGGAAAACCCAAATCTTTTACCGAAAATGCCAAAATATGAGTAAGTTTGAAAACTGTAATTTTTCCCAAAACTCCTTTCAATAATAAGTAAGATGTTTCATTTTCAGATAGCATGAGGAAAGTACGTCTCTATGCCTACATGTCAAGATACAGGTAAAATCATAAATGTCACCAAAACCGGATAGTAGAAGGAAATGCATCTTTATGCATGTATCTCAAGTACGCATGTCCAATGCAATGTATCTCAATGATGAGCTCATGTACTCACACTCTCAGAGTACTCAATCTCACTGTCTCGCATTCCCTCTCACTATGCCCAATGCTCAGCACACTCAATCACTCAGTAATGTACAATACCTGCTGCGGCATGCAGCCCGATCTACATATGACCATAAGGCCTGTTTCGGCGTGCAACCCGATCCATATACATATATATAATCAACTACGCTCACTGAGGGTGTGCAGACTCCGGAGGGGCTCCTACAACCCAAGCGTTATAATTTACACGGACAACTCACGTGCCATAATATCAATATCTGGATCCTCACGGACACCTCACGTGCCATAATATCAATATCTGGATCCGTATGGACCACTCACGTGCTATAGTATCAATATCCTCACAAATAGGCCCCCGACCTCACTTAGTCATCAATCTCTCCAGTCTCACTCACGGACTCACAATGTCATGAAACTAGCCCGACAACAATGATATGATGTATCAATAAATAACAACTGAGACTGAGATATAATATGAATGCAAGCATATGACTGAGTACGAGATATCAATAAAATCAGAGAAATGACAGCAAGAAACGACCCCTATGGGTCTTAGCAGTATCATCATAAAGCCTAAACATGATATCTAGCATGATTGACAGCTCAATTACTTTATCACATGGTGAAATCACGGACATCAACAAAGTAGGACTACTATACAGTGCCTTGGAAATAACAGAGTCCCAATTCACATGGTGCATGTCCACACGCCCGTCACCTAGCATGTGCGTCACCTCAATACCAATCACGTAACACGTATTTCAGGATTTCATATCCTCAGCACTAAGTTTAGAAGAGTTACTTACCTCGAACAAGCCAATACCAATGTCGAGCAAGCCAAGCAATGCTCCAAAGATGCCATCACGCGCGTAGCGACCTCCGAACGGCTCAAAACTAGCCAAATGCATCTCAAATACATCAAATAATGTCCAAGGAAACAATTCCAAATGATAAAGATCGAATCCTTAATATAAACCCAAAATCGGCCAAAACTCACACCTGGACCCGCGTCTCGTAACCCAACAAAACTCACAAAATCCGACAACCCATTCAATTACGAGTCCAACCATACTAGTTTTACTCAAATCCGACTCCAATTCGATGTTCAAAACTCAAAAATTTATATTATGAAACATCAGGCCAAACCCCCCAATTTCTTCTTTAAATTCATCAACCAATTGCTAAAAATGAAGATAGATTCGTGGAATAAAATCACAAGGGAGTCAAAAACACTTACCCCAAATTGTGTGGAGAATTCCTTTCCAAAATTGCCCAAACAGAGCTCCAAAATTCGAAAATGGGTGAAAAATCACGAACCCTCGAACTTAAAGAGTTCTGTCCAGTCAATCCGCATCTGCAGACAAGAGGCAACATCCGCGACCTTCGCTTATGCGGAAAGAGGCTCGCGCATTTGCGAGACAGGCCGCTTCTGCGATGGCAATGGTCGCATCTGGATCCGCTTCTGCGATGCCTCCCCAGCCAGCACTCCCTCGCTTCTGCGACTGCTTTGTCAGTTCTGCGACCATCGCACCTGCGCAACCCAGCCGCAGGTGCGGTCACACCAGAACCAACAGCAACCAACATTAATAACATGAAGAAAAATGATCCGAAATCAATCTGAAACACGTTCGAGCCCCTCGGGACCCCATCCGAAGATACTAACAAGTCCCATAACATAATACGGACCTACTCGA